TTTACAGATGAAACCCAAATCTGCGCAACCTCGCTGCCTGTCAGTCATTCTGCGAGGTCCTGAAATACCAATCCAAATCAACCTGGAAGAAGCACATGCGCGGATGTCAAACATAGAGCGAGAAGATGAACGCAGTCACACATCATCCTCTGCATGAAGCTCGAAGTCTGTATATCAGGCGACTGCTTTCTGTACCTCCCGTCTATTTCAGACAGACCTGTTGTTTCCGTTTGAAAGATTCGCGACACCTCCGATGGGTCTGCGTTTAACGCTGCATTTCAGCACCCGCCATCCTTCGAAGAAGCCTGAAGCACCCGAAAACACTGTAATGCCCACAAAGATCTGCCACAAAGCCTCGAAACGACGTGATACTGGATGAGAAAGAACGGTCGCCCTGAAAGATCTGTGGCGCTGCGGGGAATCTGACATAGTTGTGCGGGTCGGCATGGTTCGATTCAATTAGCTATGTCATCGAGCGTACTGCCTGTGCTTTGAAGCACTTGCTTCTGCAAATATATCTCGACGAAAGATATTCGCTTGAGGAAAAGGGGTGCGGTCTCGATGGCATGGCTGTCTTCGATGTTCCGCCACATGAGCAAGTTCCAACCTATCTTGACCGAGACACGTAAGATGCGACATCACTCAAACCAAGTCCCGTAGAGACGGGTGGTCTCCTGCTGGACTGTGAAATCTGCAAAATGCTTTGGAAGACGCCTTGACAACCATGAACGCTTCTGACTCGCGGTCCCTGTCTTGTCAACCTGGGAAACATTGCCGAACAAACAAAAGAGACCGAAGCCCAGCATACACAACAACAAAGTAGACCGCTTCCGGATTGTAGCTTTTCCTGCTTCTGTTGCACGGGGATGCCACCGAGCTGTATAAAGCCGTCGTGGTGGTCGGTGGAGGTGCACACATCGTGGGTGGCCCGGCAAAGGTTTAAAATGATGAGCTACGATTCAACGAATGGAACTGCTTATCAACACGACGGTGTGTGGTGAGCTGCACATGGCGAACCGAGGAAGTCAACCTGGTACTTACAAAGGCCTTCCCAAAGCTGGACCTGATAGGCTCTGCGAAACTGCACAGCTAGAACACGAACTGGCCCGCTATCTCTGCAACACCATCTGCGACAAAAAGGACATGGTGGAGCACGGGCTGCCCTGAGTTCTCCAAGACCGACTGAGTCTGCTTCAAAGCGCAGATGTCATGACCACAACAGCCAAACCTCTTCGTCTGCGATGCATTGCATGACAAGAAATACCGCCTGCATCCCACCAGCCTGCATCTTGCATACTTGACAAACTGTTCCAATAGCGCCGAATTTCAAGCGTCCTGTGGAAATCCGATACTCTGCCATGCTGCAAGGCGTATTGCAATCCTGGAAAACGCAGACACAAACACTCTACAGTGCTACAGTTCGACACACGCAAGAAAGTCCTGAACTGTGTGTTCGTTGCATACATGTGGGCCATCTAGATGCTCCTTAAATACCGCTGTGCACGCAATTACTGCTGCAGTGGACTCATCTGTATCATTGTTGCCGATGAAGAGCGTGAAAACAAAACCACGCAACATCTTCCCGAGTCTCACTGTGGCCCACCGCTGTCTGTACTTCCCGTCCCGTGCACCCGGCGTTTCAATCCATGTGCCTGCTCTTGATCATGCATTCCATCCATTGCCATCCTTAAAGGAAACCTCAAAGCTGAAAGGCCGAGTGAACTTCGACATCAACTCTCTGGACATGTCGTGGACCGACAAAACTCATAGAGCCCCTTGCAAGATCTCCCAGACAAAGTTCATGAAGGAGTCGCTCACAAAGGATGTTATGGGACGATAACTTGGCCTGCTGACGCGGTAAGGTTCGCTGTAGTGCTTCGTTTCGATTGAATGTGGTCGAGAGAGCTCGGCTCGACTTCGTTCTGGCACTACAGGACAGGTGGGGGGCGCTTGTCTTCAAGCTTTCGCGACAAGAGCTTGGCAAACACGAGCTTCAAAGTAGTTCGAGCTAGACACGCAAGATCTGAAACCACACAATTCAATCAAATCTTCCAGAGCCCCGGAGGGCAGAGTCACAATGCTATCGAAGTTGAAGAAAGATAGGGATCGACCTGCCGTCTGCTCGCGCGGAGGGTACCGAACCGAACATGTCAGTCAAGACCCTGCGCATGATGGTAGGACCGCTGGGTCGTGAAGGCGGACTTCATGGAGAGGGCTCTTCCACGGAAAACAATCGAAGGAGCAGAGCATGATGAAGTAACGTACCACTCCACGGCAAAATCTTCAGTCACCCTACTTCTCGCACTCCGCGCAGGGACTTGAATACTGCTGTGACACGAAATCCTAGACCCAGAAACCCCGAAAACTTGAGATGTGGTTTGCTACCTTCAGGGTCTCATCAGATCCTGGAGAGCCAATAGATGGCAGACTGGATCAACATCACAAAACCTTCGAAATAGAAACATTCCAGCACCCCGGAGGGTGAAGTCAGAATGTGCTGCAGAAAATGAACCTATCACTGCTTTGCCTGCCACCAAATTCTCTGTAAGTGCTTTCTCGAACCATGACGAAGCCTCTTCCATGTTTTGACATGATGCAGGCAACGGGAATGCTTCTGCGAAACCGGCAGGAAGAGTTGTGAGGCAAACGTCTCGATGCTATGCACGCAAGAGAACTTGAAACCATCTTGAAGTAGAACGTGGGAAGGCTTGTGAACACCATGACGTTGGATGTACTGCGCAACATCCACGAAAGCCTGCGGAATAGTTTCAGGGATTCTGCAAAGCAGCCCGCAATCTCTTCGCACTACGAGTAGGACACTGTAAGATATGAAAACAGTGAGTCTAAGCTCTCTTGCACGCCCGCCACGAGAAGGGTCTTGCAACTCTTGTCCCAAGCCCCCACCGGCTGACAAAGCCCTTCGATCTGCGACCTCACACCGCACAGCACAGCACTAAACATATTGGGGAAAAATATTTTTCCCCAATATGTTTAGTGCTTCTACCTGCCGACTTTGTCGTCCTCCACATAGGAGCATGCACTGCCGAAAGCGTGCTGGAGCCTGAATTTGTTTGAGTTGGGTATATCGTGGCACTTTGCCTTACACCTCAGAAGGCTTGTGGGGGTACTAAGCCACTAAGCCTTCATTAAGCAGGTGTCAAGTATCCAGGCTCCGAGCACGACTGCCGACGCTATGAGGTCCCTTCGACCTGTACACTGTACGAACCTACACATATGTTGCAGACACACTGTGATTCTTTCAACCATCCCGATGCCTTGTCGAGCTTCGGAATTGAGATCATCAAAAGCGACCTATCGGCGAGCAGGAGATGATGCACAGGAGAACTGCAGGTGCATCGCTTCGCAGCCAGGTGCTCTCAATGTACTATATACAAGCAAACCCTTAAGGTTCATTCTCAGCCCGGCGATGTGCTGCAAGCAATGTTCCATGTCGTTCTTTGGCAGTTTCGCGCAGATATCGAGACTCTCGGACAATGGGAGATACCATGGAAACACCATTGAGATGACGTGTACGTGAAGAATCTCATCACAGGGCAGGACAAAGCCACATCCCGTCTTTGATTGAAGCTGATGCATTGCGGCTTTGATCATTTGGGCTCCCAGGCTTGTCCTTCAGCTGCAGAAGGTGCTGACTGCTGCATGCAATCCGAGGACAGCTGGACGCCTTCTGGACATCTGCGCACCGGGTGCCAACTCCAAGCCGACCAGTTCCGCTTGTGCGATCGACGTACTGTGTCAATGAAGGTTGCGTCAAAGGTCTACGGCAGTGGCTGATTTTCAATGACCATGAATCATGAACAATCCCAAGACTTCCCTCTGGCATGTGCATGACTTAGACACATCTCAAGACTCGACGGACGCTGGATGAACCTGTCTTTATGCCTCGAGTCCCAGTACCCCTGCGAAATATCCCAAAATCATCTCATCCAGCCCTGAATCAGCCGCAACCCTAAACCCCGACACGGTTGATGCCATTTGCCGTTGCAGAGCTCGAAGCCAACCCTCGCAGCGTCGAAAGAGAGATTTGACAGAAAAGCCAGGCCATGACGATGACACAGTACTGTGATATGCATCTCCGAACCCGGCCTTTGGTCCAGAGCGAACCTCGCACGATTTTCTCTGCCAAGAGGTCCGGCGTTCGGGGATCCTGGTTTTCCGCCAGCGAGCCTTCTTTCCGCCCGTGGTCCGGAAAACGAGTCCGCCGAACCCGCCTTTGGTCCAGAGCGAACCTCGCACGATTCCTCTGCCAAGAGGTCCGGCGTTCGGGGATCCTTGTTTTCCGCCACGGCGGAGCTGCACTTGAGACCCGCGGCGAGCTGCGCCACAATTTCCCCTGACATGCCGTGATGTTGACATGGAGGCTAGTTGCGAGACTAAGACGGCAAGTAGCTTGTGCCTGATGCCGACGCTCTGTGACGAAGCTCATCAGGACATTCATGCCAGCCGTTTTCGCAATCCGCACACTCGAAGGCATGGGAGGGAGCACCAAGTCTGCCCATGACACCGTATGATACATGGAGCAGTCACTCGATGTTGGTGACACCCGTTAACTGTAGCAGTAGCAAGGGTGGCAAGCACAATACTACCAAAATCTGGCAAAGAGTCAAAGGACTACCAATATCTTGGTGATACGAGCAGAACCCCAGAGGGTCACTTCATCACTGGTCGTCGAGCGGTACTGCTTCCGACTGCTCCCGATCCACCGGATACTACGACCTTCTCCTTGACTAACATTTCCATGCCGTGGCGGTAGGCAGAGAGAAAGCACCTGGCCTGGAACCCCATTCAGAACTGGAGCCAAGGACTCGTACTCGCCGGGGAGGCCGGTGGACGAAAGATTTCAATTGCCTCACCATCGTGCGGAACAACTTCAGTTTGTTGAAAGGCGCATGCTAGCGCCTTCTTACAACGGGTTGCTGAAGCAATAAAAGTAGGAACCTTCACGATCATGTGGGGAACGTGGGCTGTTGATGGATGTCTCAGAAAGAAGCCTCGGTGAAGAAAGAGCCCGTTTGGTTTCAGTTCAAGCTCTCCCTCCTGCCCGACCTGAGCCAATCAAAGGGTTTAAGATCTGACAAGAAGGTTCCGATTCCTACAGCAAGGCAGTTGTTGCCCGCAAGAGCTGACGGAAATCAGGTTTCTGCAATCCGTCACTCGGAACATGGGGACAAAGGCACCAGAGCTGTCAGGGCAATGCAGAGAGATGTGCCTCACAAACATCCATGTCCACAGCTTCGACCTCTCTCCGTCGACTGCTGGGCCCCTGGCGCGATCATGACCAGACCTGGCCCAGAGAGCTTTGGGCACCTCGCGACGATGAGAGGCGGAGCGTCTCCGCTCTTTGGGGGTCAACTCCCCCTGGGAGCCCTCGAAGGAAACGGGCCTTCGAGGGCTCCTTCAAGGATCCGGTTTTGGGGAAGTTCTCCTCTCGCTGGACGGAGCACCGGAGGGCAACATGGACGTTCCTCGGGCCGTGGCCGTGCGGTCCACTCCCATGAGCCATGGATTCACCGTTGCCAGGACGAGAAAGCCAGACAGATACCTTCGCATCCGCCCGGAGATTCACCCGCCCATGGGCACCTGCAACATCTGAAGCCCTTGGAAGACAAGGGCATCTCTGTCAGTGCATGGCATGCTACTTGGAGCGGTCTGGGATCCAAAATACTGGGCCTACCATGGAATTGTCGTCGCTCGCAGCTACCTCTCATGAGGACATGAAACGGTGGGATGGCAGACTTGCTTCATGAAAGCGGTCATGCACCCGTGCCCGTACAGTCACACAGCGCATGCCTGCCGCAAAGAACTGCCTTCTTCAGCTCGCTCTCCATCCACCGATGTGGCATTCGTGAAGTCGTTGCGAGCTTTGTGAACAGATGGAAGCCAGTAAGACATGTCATGTTTCTTCATGACACAAGGAGCCGTGACAAAGGTTTCCTTGCATGGACCGGCTGCTTCTCTTGGCCGCGTCAGAGCCCTGCAGCCCGCTCTTCCGCGTCGCGACTTCGAACTGCGCCTCCCCTTTGGGGCAAAACCGAACCTGAGCAATACACATCAGGAGCAGAGCCGGGGTCCGGTCCGAAAGGCCATCCCCCCCTGCCCTGCGAGCGCAGGCTCCTTCGGGGGAGGCCTACCAGCCCGTCAGGGCGGTGACCCCTCCGACGGGGCCCCGGAGGGCGGGAGGATTGCTACAGGTCACATCAGGCCACGTACGTTTACGCTAAAAACAGGCTCGGAACCATCACCGGAGCCATGGTGGCGCACGCATCAGGTGCCAGCCTTGTCAGCGTCACTGCATAGATCTCACAGTCGACAGCGGGCCAAGCGAGCCGCTCATGTGACTGATCTTCGAACTGAAGAACCAGTTGGTGTCGGTAGATACTTGGGAGGATGACCAACACAACATGTTGCAAACACCAATGCTTCAGAGCCATTGCCGCAACAGATGTTGCCGAACAAGTTGAACAAGTCAGATGCTCAAGACGTATGACAGGCCGTTCCTGCGAACGCATCTGAAACCCTGACAGCACGGACACAGCGATGCCCTGCTGCCGAGCCACCAAAACATTCCTGCTAGTCGCGGCGCAGGTGAGCTGCGCCGAGGCCAGCGGATCAGCAATCGTCACCATGGTCAGCCCGGCTAATTGCACAGAGATAGCATGGTGTTGGAACGGTCAATGAGCCAGCAGCCCGAGCAAATGGCTCGTCATGCGACCAGAAAAGACATCACTGCAGCTCTAACTCAGGAAGCAACTGGACTTATGGGTGAACCCACATTCAACTGTACGGCAGTTCGTCCTCGGGCGGATGTCTTGATGTCCTGGCAAAAGCAAGTTGGCAGACCCTGACTGACATGCCTTGTAGTTGCAAGCAGCGGTGAAAAAGCTCCCATGCAGACTCCAGCCCAAACAGCCGACGACGTGCAGATTGATGACTCCATGACCGAGCGCATCGAAAACCTTGGGAGCACTGTCTGGTACGCTCCGTGTTTTTCCAAAGCAAAGCTCCGGCGCTGCTGGAGGCACGCAAAGAACTCCTGCCAGTCGCCGCCCAGGTGTGCACCAATGGCCAAGGCCATTTCTGCAGTTCTGCGGGCGTCACCCATGGCAAGTGGCACAGCGTTCGGAAGTTCAATGATGTTGGTCTGTGTCTTTGGCGACATGACGGCTAGCACAGTGTTGCAGCGTCTCACTTGAGACCCAAGCTTCAACAACAACACCTCAACCTCAACCGGCCCCGGAGGGCAGGAGGATTATGCGCAGTACAGTAATGACACCTTGAAAACGACACTTAGACTTGTCAGCCCTTGTATCATTGCCGGTACTGACACCGGCGCTATGGCCGGGCACCCTCTCAGCAACTATGGCTGGTGACTCTAAGCTCCCAGCTGGGCCCCGGAGGGCAGAGATACGCTTTCACGATTGCGCCCACTGGACAGTATGTCCTCAGGCTTTAGCTTTCAATCGTTATTAGCAGCAGATGCTGGAGGACCCACAGAGTGAACTGGAATCAAAACCACACACCCGTCTCAACCGAAACACATCATGCCTCCAGTACCATCGTCTTCCATAGTCACTGCTGTCGCAGTGTGCTCATTGAAGCTTTGCATCTCGAAAGCGTCTGATGCCGCAGCCATCGAAAAGGTCTGCGGGAACAGACCTTATAGAAGGATGTGGCGCAGGTTCACCCAACAGACGTCTGGAGGCTGAACCCTCCAGCCAAGCTGCTTCAGGGAGCTCTGAACAAGCGAGCAAGTTATTGAAGCCATGCGAAAACCATCTCACATGCTGTCCGGGAGATGGGTTCAAAGGTAGGGTGCAAACAAACGAGCAGAATTGTTGGTGATGGGGCAGGTGTCTTGGAAACAACATGGAACACCGTGATTGAAATGCTGCACAGTGACAATCCTCAATTCAAACTCTGGTCGAACTGCATTGTGTTGCTACATCATGACATCACTTGCCAGCATGCAACGTGGCCCTGCCTTCCGTCATGAGGACACCGTGGCCTGCGTGTTGCCAAGTGTTGCCAACCAACTCCTCCACCACGGACACTTGTCGGATAGATCCGACGGAGGCGCAGCCGTGCCCGCATTGCGGAACATCCGCAGAGTCGCGGCTCAGGCGACAGGCATCCATATGCTCCCAAAGTCCAGCCGGATATGCCGACAGTGTTACCAGAAGACCGGGCGTCACCGCCTCGGCTGCCACGGCCTCGGTGTGTGCCTGGCACACGATTCATGCCTGGCTCCTGACAGGTCCGCAGGATCTCAGTCGAGTCCTAACGCCTCACTCGGGCGCCTAACCTCCAGCTGGGCCCCGGAGGGCAGGAGGACCCACCTGAAACCACACTTGTCTCAACCGAAACATCATGCCTTCAGTACCATCCTCTTCATTCCTCTTCAACCATCACTGCCGTCGCAGTGTACTCATCCAAGTTCTGCAGGTACAGAACGTACTCCCACAATCGAAGGATGTCATGCAGGTTCACCCCCAATCTCGCGGCTGAATGGATCAGCCAAAGCTGCTTCAAGAAGACGCATGGTCTTGAACAAACGATTAAGTTGTTGAAGCCATGCGAAAACCTTCCCACATGCAGTCCGAAGACGGGTTCAAAGGGAGGGTGCAAACAAACCAGCAGAATTGTAAGTGATGGAGCAGGTGTCTTGTGAAAGCAACATGGCACACCGTGGTTGAAGTGCTGCACAGTGACAGAACTCTGGTCGAACTGCATTGCAAGTTGCTACATCATGACATGACTTGCAAACATGCAACGTGGCCCTGCCTTCCCGTCATCAGGACACCGTGGCCTGCGTGTTGCCCACCAGCTCCTCCACCACGGGCACTTGTCGGATATCGGATACAGCCGACGGAGGCGCAGCCGTGCCCGCATTGCGAAACATCCGCAGAGTCGCGGCTCAGGCGACAGGCATCCATATGCTCCCAAAGTCCAGCCGGATATGCCGACAATGTTACCAGAAGACCGGGCGTCACCGCCTCGGCTGCCACGGCCTCGGTGTGTGCCTAGCACACGATTCATGCCTGGCTCCTGACAGGTCCGCAGGATCTCAGTCGAGTCCTAACGCCTCACTCGGGCGCCTAACCTCCAGCTGGGCCCCGGAGGGCAGGAGGACCCACCTGAAACCACACTTGTCTCAACCGAAACATCATGCCTTCAGTACCATCCTCTTCATTCCTCTTCAACCATCACTGCCGTCGCAGTGTACTCATCCAAGTTCTGCAGGTACAGAACGTACTCCCACAATCGAAGGATGTCATGCAGGTTCACCCCCAATCTCGCGGCTGAATGGATCAGCCAAAGCTGCTTCAAGAAGACGCATGGTCTTGAACAAACGATTAAGTTGTTGAAGCCATGCGAAAACCTTCCCACATGCAGTCCGAAGACGGGTTCAAAGGGAGGGTGCAAACAAACCAGCAGAATTGTAAGTGATGGAGCAGGTGTCTTGTGAAAGCAACATGGCACACCGTGGTTGAAGTGCTGCACAGTGACAGAACTCTGGTCGAACTGCATTGCAAGTTGCTACATCATGACATGACTTGCAAACATGCAACGTGGCTCTGCCTTCCCGTCATCAGGACACCGTGGCCTGCGTGTTGCCCACCAGCTCCTCCACCACGGGCACTTGTCGGATATCGGATACAGCCGACGGAGGCGCAGCCGTGCCCGCATTGCGAAACATCCGCAGAGTCGCGGCTCAGGCGACAGGCATCCATATGCTCCCAAAGTCCAGCCGGATATGCCGACAATGTTACCAGAAGACCGGGCGTCACCGCCTCGGCTGCCACGGCCTCGGTGTGTGCCTAGCACACGATTCATGCCTGGCTCCTGACAGGTCCGCAGGATCTCAGTCGAGTCCTAACGCCTCACTCGGGCGCCTAACCTCCAGCTGGGCCCCGGAGGGCAGGAGGACCCACCTGAAACCACACTTGTCTCAACCGAAACAGCATGCCTCCAGTACCATCCTCTTCAACCATCACTGCCGTCGCAGTGTACTCATCCAAGTTCTGCAGGTACAGAACGTACTCCCACACTCGAAGGATGTGATGCAGGTTGACCGCAATCTCGAGGCTGAATGGGTCAGTCAAGCTGCTTCAAGAAGACGCATGGTATTGAACAAACGGTGAAGTTGTTGAAGCCATGCGAAAACCGACTCACATGCAGTCCGGAAGATAGGTTCAAAGGGAGGGTGCAAACAAAGGAGCAGAATGGTTAGTAAAGGCAGCTGTCTTGAAAGCAACATGGCACCCCGTGATTGAAGTGCTGCGCAGTGAAACCTCAATTCAAACTCTGGTCGAAATGCGTTGTTTGCTACATCATGACATGACTTGCTTGCATGCAACGTGCCCTGCCTTGTCGTCATGAGGACAGCATGGGCTCCGTGTTGCCAACCACCTTTCCTACGCAGCCGTGACGCTCGCGGAGCATTCACAGAGTCGCGGCCTTGCCGTCGGGCTCTGCTTGCACAGCAGCGCAGACCGTCCACATAGTCGCGATCTGAGCGACGGGCGTCCAGAGGCCAGCCAGATGTGCCCAGGTCGCTACCAGAACACCAGAAGTCAGCGCGCGCACCGACCAGCCAGCCATGTAGAGCATTGGTTGCCAGTACTTCAGTCTGCGCCGGCACGCACTTCCTCTTAGTTCCTGATAGTGGACACAGGTTTCGTGTTCCCCTCATAGCAGCAGCTCGGCCACTCACTAGGAGGGCCAGCGCACTTGGCAGCTCGGCCACTCACTAGGGTGGCCGGCGCGCTCCCAACCTCCAACTGGGCCCCGGAGGGCAGGAGGACCCACACAGTCAACATGCATTGAAACGACACGGCGATAATGCATCGTGCCTCCAGCACCATCATCAACCGCAAGCACCGCCGTCACTGTCTGCCGGTTGACATTCTGCGTGTCCCGTGCACATCCTGGGCAGAATCTGCCACCTTACCACAATCGACAGATGTACCGCAGGCTCAGCCGACGGACACCTCGAGACTGGAAAGGTCACCCGAACTGCTTGCTCGGATGGCATTGTCTTAGCAGACGTAGTTGTTGCGCTAGACAAGCCGCCTAACGGTATGGCTTTCCTGCGGCTGACTGCAGATGGACACTCGCGCGCAGTGAAGTTGGCAAATCAGTAGTTTGGTTGATGGCTGGTGACACCGAACAAACACTACGAAAAGTCCTGCCTGTCGTGGTAGCAGTGACCACTGCCAGATCCACTATCCAAATGCCATTCTACAAGACTGGAAGTGAGACTTGAGTCAGAGTACGAAACTCTCTCTGCTTGCACAGCAGCGCAGACCGTCCACATAGTCGCGATCTGAGCGACGGGCGTCCAGAGGCCAGCCAGATGTGCCCAGGTCGCTACCAGAACACCAGAAGTCAGCGCGCGCACCGACCAGCCAGCCGGGTAGAGAGTTGGTTGCCAGTACTTCAGTCTGCGCCGGCACGCACTTCCTCTTAGTTCCTGATAGTGGACACAGGTTTCGTGTTCCCCTCATAGCAGCAGCTCGGCCACTCACTAGGAGGGCCAGCGCACTTGGCAGCTGGGCCGCTCACTAGGGTGGCCGGCGCGCTCCTAACCTCCAACTGGGCCCCGGAGGAGGGCAGGAGGAACCACACAGTCAACATGCATTGAAACGACACGGCGATAATGCATCGTGCCTCCAGCACCACGGGGGTCTTGGGTGCCCAGCATCACCACAGAACCAGCACAGTCCGCCCTGAGTCTGACGTTAACGTCTGCTCGGTGCGACAGCAACGGATCAACAACTTGCATAATCACCGCCAACACTGTCCAGATCCTGGAGATTGTCTGGAACCGCAACCCTCGAAAGAGGAATGCCGGGACTCCACCTTACCAAAACCGACAGATGTACCGCAGGCTCACCCGACGGACACCTCGAGACTGGAAGGGTCACGAACTGCTTACTCGGATGGCATCGTCTTAGCAGACGCCGTTTTTTCTAGACAAGCCGCCAAACGGTGTGGCTTTCCTGCGGCTGACTGCAGATGGACACTCGCGCGCAGTGAAGTTGGCCAAGCATTAGTTTGGTTGATAGCTGGTGACATCGAACGAACACTACGAAAAGTCCTGCTTGTAGTGGTGGCAGAAACTACTGCCTATAAAAATGACAAAATCGAGAATGTCGG